CTCAGCCTCCCAACATGCTGGGATTACAGGCATAAGCCACCAGGTCTGGCCTGAACGGAACAATTTAATTGGGGGAATTGTATAGTATGTGAATTATATCTCAAAGTTGTTAGAAAGAAAAAAGGCACAAGGATGTGGGCCTATTGACTGTGCAAATGGCCCTGAATTATTCACTCCCTCTGTATTCATACCCTTTGCAATGTGACTTTCTACTTTCTCTCACTACAGATGTTAAGTAGAGTTAGGCTATTATTGCATTGCATAAAGAAATACTTGAGACTGGGTAATTATAAGAAAAGACGTTTAATTGGCTCATGGTTCTGCAGGCTGTACAAGCATGTTGCTGACATTTGCTTGGCTTCTGGGGAGGCCTCAGGGAGATTTTACTCATGGAGAAGGTGAAGCAGGAGTAGTCATGTCACATGGCCAGAGCAAGAGTGAGAGAGAGAGAGAGGAGAAGGAGAGCAGGAGAGAGAGAGAGAGAGAGAAAGTGAGTTGGGGGAGATGCCACACACTTTTAAACAACCAGATCTTGTGACAACTCACTTATCACCAAGGGGATGGTACTAAGCCATTCATGAGGGATATACCATGATCCAAACACCTCCCACCAGGCTCCACCTTCAATGCTAGGGATTACATTTCAACATGAGATGTGTTGGAGACACAGATATCTAAACTATATCATGGAGTCATTTCCCTATTCATTGAATCTAGGTTGATGTTGTCATTTGCTTTGTCTGATAGAGTCCAGGGAAAATGACGATGTCGATTCCAAGCCTGGGACTTAAGAACGCTTGTATATTGTCATTTGACCTTTGCTACTCTGCCATTGCCATGAGATCATCCCTGGATTAATCTGACAGAAAATGGGAGATGAGACACAGAGAAGTCTCTTCAATCATCCCATCTAAGGTCATCCTAGATCAGCCAATAGCCACCCAATGCCCAAACATGGGAATGAGCCCCGCAGTGACCAGAAAAACCACCCAGTCAAACCCTAATTGTCAAACTTTAAACTGACAGACTAATTACATGTTTGTTGTTTCAAGCCAGTGTGTTTTGGGATTGAAGTATTTGTGTGAAAATAGGTAACTGATACAGCAGGATAACACAACATTCATTGTCATCTCAGGAACTTGAAGAAAGAGAATAGAGAGGATAGGTAATGAAATTTAGCACTTCCTAGACCTCAAGTCCTTTATAGAGAAGGTTTGGAAAGTTAAATATAGTGTGTATATGCAGAAAAATGTAAAAATGTGGGTCAAAAGTAATATAAGGTGATTGGAAATTCCACAGTGACATAAAAATATATAGCATATCCTATTTACTGTCTAGTAGTGATTATGCTAAAAAAATTCACCTTAATTTCTTAAATATACTACCCAAGCAAATCACATCTGCCAAAAAATGTATAACTTCAATTTATCCATGAGAAAATGTCAGTAGAGGGACAGTCTACTAAAAAGCTGACCAGTACTCTCGAAAGTGACAAGTTTCTGAAAGACAAAAAAGATTTAGGAACTTTCCAAGATTGGAGAAAATAAAAGAGATACAATAAAAGACATAAATGAAATGTGGAACCATTGGATTTTGGAATAGAAAAGGAACATTAGTGGAATGATTGGAAAATTTCGAATTAGATCTGTAGGTTAATTAATAGTAAAAAGTATTAAATCAATGTTCATTTTCTAGTTTCAATAATACTACTACAAATAAATAAGTTGTCAACATTTGCAGAAGCTGGGCTAAGGGCTACACAGGAATTATGTGTACTGTTCTGCAATGTTTTTCAAAATCTAAATAAAAAATTTTTAACTTAAGTCACATTTATACTTTTTTAAAAAGGCGGAAAGAGTATATCAAAAAATGTTAACAGCAGCTATTTTCCACAAATAATTTGTTGATATCCCAGAGACTATTTTGGTAGTAGTGCTACAGTAGTCAATGAGACAGAAAAATCCTCGCTCTTATGCAAGGCTCTCTTCTTCATAATGTAAACAGAACATATGGAAGATAATTTGAGCCAGTATTAAATACTGTGTAGAAAGTAAATCATGGCAAGGCAGTAGGAACAGACTACATGGGTCACTTTAGCTGAAGTGGTCCGGACATCTCTCTTTGAGGGGCTGTTAAATGAATGAGACCTGAATGACCTAAGGAACTGATTTTGTGTGGGAAGGACATTTTGGGCAGGGAAAAGCAAAGCAAAGGCCTTGGGGCAGAAGCAAGCATGAAGTATGTTCAGAAGAGGAAGGCCAGCCTAGTCAAAAGTGGAATGTTACTAGCTTTCCAAGTGAGACTGGAGCAGTATGCATTGTCCAGAACAAGTGCCTAGTGTCAGGAGTTTGCATTTTATGTACAAAAGGAAGTGATCCAGTGGTTTTAAGATGGTGGGAGGCCAGGTGCAGTGGCTCATGCCTGTAATCCCAGCATTTTGGGAGGCCGAGGCAGGTGGAAGGTCGGGAGTTAGAGACCAGACTGACCAATATGAAGAAACCCCATCTCTACTACTAAAAATACAAAATTAGCTGGGCATGGTGAATCAAGGCAGGAGAATCACTTGAATCCAGGAGGCAGAGGTTGTGGTGAATCGAGATCGCGCCATTGTACTCCAGCCTGGGCAACATGGTGAATCCAAGGCAGGAGAATCACTTGAATCCAGGAGGCAGAGGTTGTGGTGAATCGAGATCGCGCCATTGTACTCCAGCCTGGGCAACAAGAGCAAAACTCCATCTCAAAAAATAAATGGAGGGTGGGACAAGATGTGACTGGCATTTTTAAAAATGTCATTTCATTTTTTGGGGGAAATGACCTGCAGGAGGAGGAGGGGAGCAGAAGTAAGGCCTGTTGGGAGGCCATTGCTGGAGTTTAGAGAAGGAGAGTTGGTGGCTTGTCTAGGGTGGTAAGTGAAGTGGCAGAGCAGCAACTGACCCTGGATGTATTTTATTGGAGGTAGAGCTGAGTAAATTTTACAGATGGGCTGGACATGTTGGTACAGGGAAAGCAAGGAATCTAGGATAATTGTTTTCTTGTCCAATTTGAGTGGATTTTGGTGCCACTTACCAGGGAAGAGTGATGGAGGAACAGTTTTCTGGGGGAAAAAATCAACAATTCTGTTCTGGATATATTAAATTTGTTACTTTTTAAAGAACATTATTTTATGTTTTTGCAATAATTGAGTAGTAAATATATGTAAATGTATTTAAGGAATTTTACATTTTAGGATAAAAATGAAGTAGGTTTCAGGAACATTCAGAAAACGCTAGGCAAACCGGGTGCTTAAATTATTTAAATAAAGACAGAAGGTATATCTCACCTGGAAAAGTGATTGAGAGGAGACTAATATAGAGGACAAAGGGCTCCATCCTAAAAAGAAGCAGTTGTAGAATGCTCAAGTAAAAGTGATGTATTAAATTTGTTCCTGGGTGTGAACAACGATGAGCATCCATAGGTGAACTTTTCACAACTGTCATCACCCACATAAATACAACATTTTTCAAAAGAAAAATAAAATCATGCAACTGTCCTTCAAATTTAGAAAAGGGAACTCTGATCAAATGTGCATGCAGGAAGAGATATAATGGTATGACAACTTCTTTTTTTCTTTAAAAGAACAGTGCACAGGGAATCCAGTAACTGTAGGAGGGTAATTATCAAGAGACTGGTATTGTGGTCAAGGGTGTGGAATGTGGAGCCCAGTGATCTATGCTCTACTCTTATCTCCACCACTTACTGATTGTATAACTTTATTCAAGTTCTGTAACCTCTCTGTGCCTCAGTTATATAATCCATAAACCGAGATAATAATATGTGGTAGACCCTGCAATGCACCCCACACCCCCTTCTTCCAGATTCCACTTCTCAGTGTCTGGGATTATTGCCAGAAGATGGCCCTTAGCTGTCAGTCCTCTTGGAGATTGTCTTGGCTGAAGAAATTCTCTCCCTCGAGGTCATGCCTTCTTCCAGGGTCAGCTATATCCAATGGCTGATCAACACAGGGTATAAAGGCCTGACCCCATCACTCCAATTAAAGAAAGCTAGAAAGGCCTTCCCAGCTCCGGAGTTCCAGATGGAGTTGGATGAGGCTTCTATTGGGCCTGTATTCCAGCTCAACTGCTCATTTAGCTGAATCCTGCTTTCTTCTCTTTCTTTTCCCAAGTATTGATCCCAAGACCACTCCCTGGTAAACATCTTGTAATCTAATCTCCCTCTTGGAGTCTGCTTTCCAGTGAACCTGACCTGCAACAGAAGGGTACCTTCCTTATAGGGTGATCCTTAGGAATCAATAAGTCACCATACATAAAGCATGTGAAAAGGTGCTTGTACATAGTAAGAGGAATTTAAGTGTCGGCTATTATTGAAGTGATCTTCTTATGTAGCTATCAACTCCTGCAATTGTCTATTTTTCCCTCAGTCATAAAAGGCTCATTATAGTGGTTTGAGTTAATTTTCCATATGTTGCAAATAAATTTAACTGGCTTGTTTTAGGCGATGAGAAACAAAAGAGGAAAACAGGTTTCTGACCTATTTGTTGCTATTGAAATCCCCTCATTCTTGCCAGAGAGGCTGTCTCTGTGTTTGAAACCTGACTATAAGTATCTTCTCTGTTTATATATTGGATTTTTGTTTTAACTGAGAAAAGGTAGGTGTGAATTATTGTATTTTCATTTGGCTTGGATTACATACATGTCCCAATAAAGGCATCTGCATGACAAGAATCGACATTTGTAGGATCTTCTTCTGAGATGAGAAGAAACCAGTATCTTCAGCTTAGTTTATTCTGTTCAGACAGAAAGGGTTCTGATAACCAGAGGGCTGGATCTAAGCTCATTTTGTCACTGCATTTTTTTTTTTGTCTGGTTCATAAGTACTTGATCCTTGTGGACCAAAATAGAGATTGAACTTTTCCCGTAAAACTGTAGCTCTAAAAAAAAAAAAAGAAAAACCAGAGAGCTTCCATACTCAAAAGCAAGGAATGCAAGACCACACAAAGCTACATTTAAAAAATAAATGTTAACCCAAAAGTCAGATTATACATTAGATTAAGCCACATTAAAACATCAGGAGGAAGAACTGACAAATACAAACGAGATGAAAAGTAGAGCCTATGGTTATTAAGGAAGATGTCATTGTTTTTCCTACAGTTCTCCAAAGAGTAGTAATTGTACAACTTAGTTTAACCCATGTATACAATATATACAGCATATGAGTATATTCTTCTTCTAACAGGAAAGCCAAAAATTCTGTGATCCCATTTCCCCATATTTGTCTAATATTATTCCCTGATACAAAGCCTTTATACAGCACAGTTTTGGAAATAATCACCAAAGGGGTGTCCCTCTGTCTTCTGTGCTGTTTGCCTCTTATCCACTCTTGATCATTTGAAGGCCTTTGGCTCATATGAGACTCCAAGCCACTATCCCTGGCAATCAGCATACATGTCTTCACTCTAGTGGGCACCTTGTGTCTTAGCCACAAGTTGAATAAATTGGGAGTGGCTGGCATAAAGCTCGAGTTTATCATTCATGTCCACTCATTTCACTTTCTTGGCATCATCGCCAGCTTCCAGTGGAGGGTGGCCCATTATTTCACCGGTTTCATCATGGTAGTTCACAGCTTCTGTCTCTATCCATGAGTTATCTGTGTTCCAAGGATCGTCCCCATAGCCGTTACAGATAACAAAATGTTCCTGAAGAGTTTGTGAAATTGTCTCTCCAACTCCTGCACTTCTCCCCTAGATTTCTGTAGAGAGTTCATGGCTTCCTCACCAAATTCTCTCTTCAAGTAGTACTAATTTTCTGTCCTGGATCCACCATCCGCCCTGGGATTGCCCATTCTCCACAGTCCTTCCTTTTGATGGCTACAAATTGCACCATATTTTCCCCAGAAATAGGGTGGGTAATTTCACTTCCCTTGCTATCCCTTTTCCACCTGGTTAAGATGGGATCTGCAGCATGATTGGGGCCCCAACGCCCCAAAAGCCCTTTGACAACCAATGCTGTCTGACTTGCAGGATTTCTGGGTCTTCCCTTCTCAATCTGATACAGACCATGCTGGCTCCTTCTCTCCACATGCCCATCCTTTTCGTTAAACTTAGGAGACAAGTTCCTTTCGCCCACCTGGGGGTCTGCCCACACGGGCCCGGCCAAGACAGAGCTGATAGTGTATTCCACGGGCGTGTACTCTCACCACTCAGCCAGTCAGCTCACTTTCTCATTGGGAACCGAGCCTCGCTCCACCTTGGAGCCAGGGTAGGGAGATGTCCAGGCCTTCTCGTGGGGCTTCTCCGCAGTTTGCTTCGAACCTGACATGATGAAGTTTAGAGGAAGGAAAATAGGCTCCAGCTGGCCGGGACGTCGGGGCAGCTGCCGGGCCTGCCTATCACAGAGGCCAAGGTCACGAAGGGAAAGACGGTCACTAAAGCCTTGCCCAGGCGGCGTCCAGCCGTGCAAGACCCAGCGGATTGTGGTCGTTCTCTGCGGGGAGCCAGCCTCCACCACAGATTGGCACCCGAGGGGAGGCAGCCACGTTTCTCTCATGAAGACCCTTTGATGGCCCGCCTTCCTGAAATGCTGTGTGGTGCCTCCAACGCTACCACGGGGGCGCGCACGTGGCCAGCGCGTGGGACTAAGGGTCCCACGGGGTGGCGGGGGCGCACCACTACCTGCATGACCTGGCTGCACCATCTCGCTGCCGCCCTGACGTTTTGATTGTAAATTGAGAGATTTCAACCTCTGGAAAAGCTCCCAAATGAAAGTGCTGGGGTTTAGAACATCTTCCTAACAATAAAATTACCTAAAGACAACCACCAAAGTGCCATTAGCCCATTAGCCATTTACCAGTACATTTAGTTCACTAGGTTTAGGACCGCTGTCTGTTATAAGGAGAGTGGAAAATGAACATGGGGGTAGGAGTGGACAAAACTTCCTGTTTGGGATGCTCAGAAGCCAAGTGTGGGTGACCTCGAAAAAGAAAGGGGACTCACCTGATGCACTGAGTGTGGTGCTGATGAGAACTTCATGAGAGGATGTGATGAGTGTGGTTATGTGTTCCAAACATGGGTCTATCATTTACTACCTTAATGGTTTTGGCAAGTTGCTTAATCTCTCTTTTCAAAGGAGTATTGGCTACAGCATGCCAAGTGCTGTGCCAAGCACAGAAGCGTGAACTGAAGGCTGGACCATGGGCCCTTTGCTTCTAAAGGATTCTGCTTGGAGAGGCAGCACATTTTTATTAAAAAAAAAAAAAAATAGAACTAGCACTGGAAGGGCAATGCTAGGTATTAGGTAAAAGTTGAACACAGTCAGGTTAAAAACCCAGCTCCAGTTCTTCCACATGCAACCTTCTTGGGGAAAGTTACATAAGCTCTCTTCAGGTTCCTCATGTGTAAAATGAAAATATTAACAATAACGACCTTATAGCATTGTGGTGACAATTAAGAAGGATGTTACAACATGTGTTAGCTCAATGTCTGGACCACAGTACAAACTCAATAAATGTTAGTTGTCATCACTGTAATTATTGTTAAGTTTTTTGATTCTGTACACCTTGAAAACTGTAGATTAGAACAGGAGAGCTGAGATGATTATGGGAAATGAGCAGCTCACATATGAGGTCAGAGTTAAACAGCTTATGGTTAGAGAAAATTGGGATGAAAAATAACAGAAATTCGGGCTGAAAATAACAGCATATGTCCTGAAATGATAAATAATGAGAAGAGGCACTGTCTTAGTCATTACACAGAAGGAAACAAGCCCTAGGGAAAGGTATCGGATCATTTGAAACAGTCCCATTAGAAAGATGTTCAATGAGTAAATGATTTTATGATCAAAGATGTTTGGGGAATTCTACATATTTTATCACCCTGCCCCCCCTTAGAAATTGAGGATTCACATTAGTGTTCTAAAGATCCTGAAAATTCCTATAAAAACAAATCAACATTAAACTGTTTAATTTTGTTTCATCCAGTATTTCTCTGATTATCTAACCAGAGAATGTTTCTTTTTTGCAATAAATGGTTACATATTAGGAACATACTTCCTCCAGTTTAAAAAGGTTTCAAAATGTATGTGTGTGCTTGGGAGTAGATCCCTAATCATTTGAAGTTATTACCATCGTGATAATTATGAAATGCAACTGCAGAATACACACCCAATGCCCTCATTAAACTCCAAACTAGATGAGGCAAGTTTCTAGAAGGCTTAAAACCCAGAAATAGCTGGGGCTATGGAGAACAAAATGGCAGAAAAGGACTGAGAACAGAGAAATATGAGACATAGTCATCCTTAACCATCATTGTCATCAACATTGTTGAGGGTTGGCTGAGGTGAAGGCACTGTACAAAGTACCACTGGGAAAGAAAGATGATCCTTAAGTGACACAGTCCCAGCTCTATAATTCTTGTCTCTTTATGCCTCAGTGTTTTAGATCATGGAATTCCTATTCCTCTAGGTCTCCTGAATATGTATTAAGAAAACCACTGATACAAAAACTTAAAACATTTGGGGAGAAGACCCTTGTGAATTTCTCATTATTTCCAGGTATCCTACTCCAACTCATAAGAAACAAATGGAGCAGATGTCTTGGGTCTGGTTCTGGCTTCCTCCCATCATAGGCTTTGTAGGGTTGCATCTGACCCTTGGCTTCACTGGGTATTGGTTCCTCACTAGAAAAAGAATCTGTTGGCCTCTGTTATCTATAAAAGTCCTTCCAGGGTTAGCGTCTTATGAGTCTAAGATCTATAAAAATCTCATATTAGAAGGCCAAGGTCAATTTTTGCTTGAATCCAAAAGACTAGATGTTCAAATATAAACAGCTAGATGCTCAGGGGGAGAATACAACGTTGAGGAAAGGAAAGGAACAGAGAGGGTATGGTGTGCCATACACAAGGCAGAAATATAATAATTCATGGGCACCTGGAAAGGAACTTCAAAACTAGTAGTAAGGCATTTTGTTCTATTTTTAGTATCATCAACAGGCAGAAGATGGTTAGATAAGACCATTTGATGACCATGGTATAAATGATACCCTAAAGCAAGAAATAAAATAACTATAGTAGAAACCAAAAGAATTATTTGCTGGGAAGCCACTGGGGAGATTCCCTTTCTTAAAATTGTCTTCTGAGGAAGAAATATCTGAGGTAGAACAAGTAGAGCTACACACAGAGAATCTTCTGGTTCTATCCATGAGAAAGCTTTAAAGAAACTTTAAGGGACAATCAGAGAATAAATCTTTGGCCTGTCACTATGAACTATGCCTGAGTCAGAGATCGCCTGTGTCATTCCCATTTTATAATATTAAGGATATTATGAAAGGCAAAGTGGAGATGGGGAGGACCAGGGTGATTACAGGGTCCAAGCAATGCAAGAACCCCTAACCATCCTTCCTGCCTCTCTTTGGGAAGCAGAAACAAGTGGTACTCAGCACATTTAATTATTAAGAATTATCCGTGTCTTCCAAAAGTGATGCTAAGGCTCAACTTCAGAAACAAATCTTCAAGGAAAGCAGATAAAAAGGTTTTCTCCTCTCTTTAAAGTGATATTAATAATAATAAATAACAAATTAACTTAGTACTGTGTACTGTACTAAGTTATTCCCATGTAACACACTGGTGTGTGAATCCTGGTTTAGCCACTTCTTAGCTAGTTGACCTTAGGCAAGTTTTTTAACTTCTCTGGGCCTCAGTTTTCTCATCTAGCTATAATAATGGTATATACATTATAGGGTTGATGTGACATAATTCATTTAAACAGCTTAGACTAATGTTTGGTCAATAGTAAATAGTTATTACAACTATTACTATTAAGTACTTTACATTCGTTATCCCATTTAATTTTCAAACAAGCCTTTGAGTTAGGCATATATACTAATAATATCACCAGTTAACAGACTGAGGACATTGCAGTTCGTAGAACTTAAATGTGCCCAAGATCACACAGTTAGTTATCGCTATATATTTCAGAACCAGAAAGGCTTGACAAAAAAATTCATATTTTATTGATAGTCTGAAAGCATGCTGAATTTGATTTTATATGGCAAAATGGCACCATCTTACTATAACTATAAAATTGTTTGACTTATATTGTTAGTTCTTCTGCTAGGTTCACTCTATGACAGAAAGAGTTTGAAGACAGTGAAACTATTAGCAACCTATTGTAATAACGGTTGTAAAGAGAAAATGCCCTGAACAATGGGGAAAATTCAGACAAAAAAGACAAGTAAGAGAGACATCCTGAAGTGGAAGTAGAGGTCTAAAGAGAAGGCAGTCATCAAAGATCACCAATTTTAATCCTAAAGAACCCAATGGATGGTGGTGATTGGCATAAACAGGGAAGTCAGGTGGGAAGCTGACAATGGAAAGTTCACTTTAGCTGTTTTAAAGACACATAATAAGAGGATGGAGCATGGGATGAATGCTTTGGGAACTGGAGATTCTGCCACTACACATTTCTGTTCTTCAATTTCCTCTTTCACAAAATGAGAAGTTGATCTAGAATTAATCCTTTGGATTCCTTCCAATTTCCTAGAGGAAGCATGTAAATGAATTAGAGGAAGTAGAAAGTAGATTTCAGGAATTCAAAAGGCAGTGAGTGACCAAGGTATTGAATCATTAGTCTGGCCTGGAAGTAAAAGAGAAAAGTGGGACAATTACTCACTTTCTAAGATTAAGACAAATAGTACCTTTTAAGAAATAACTTAGGCAGGATAATTAATACACCTATATGTAGAATAGAGGCTGTCGACAGTTAACCTAAGAAATCTAAAGTAAAATGTGTAACAATGAAAGTCAAGTAGCCTTTATTTATAGGAGAGATAAGCTTCAGTTTGTGTGGTGTGATGTGAAGGTGTTAGGAAAGTCCAGCTGCCCCAAAAATGTCTTCCTGATCTTCTTAAAATACTGCCTGGCTTTACACCACTAAAATAAACCTCTTTAAATGTACTTCATAATGTAAAATGTACATTTATTTCACATTCAGCTGTTGCCATGCTTTCCACTGCATTAGGGTAGCAGGGTGACAACTAACTGAGGAGAGGAAGACTGGAAGGGGGAGGAGGAAGGGATTCCTTCGGTAAGTGCAGCCGTGCTCAAGTCAGTCAGTTCAACATGTGGCTGCCTATTATACTTCAGGCAGGTTCTAGACATTAAAAGGCAAGTAAGCAGTGGTTCATTGCCTCAAGATGCTTACAGTCCAGAGACAGTAGACTATGCAAAGGTCATGGGGCTGGAGTTTTGAAAAGTGGGACCAGTGACTAAGAAAGGAAAGGAAAGACAAAGAAATTTGTTCTCTTCCATCACAATTTTGTTGAAGAATTAGACAGATACCCCAAACTTAAGGTTTTTTCTTGGTCCCAGTGAATCCCCCTGAGGAACTACTAAAATTTAAGCTTGTAGAGTTGACACCCTGTAGGCTGAAGAATAACAGATAATTTGAATATCTTTAATTCAATGACATTTTTTGGCCCTATGAAATTTAAATTAGTAAAATTTTACTATATCAGAACTTATACCTAAACAGTTGACTATAAAATACAGGTTTATTGCTATTTTTCATGCTCCCCTCCTCCCCTGGAACTTCACAGTATGCTAGGATTGCTGAGGGCTGCTGGGAGGGAACCAGGGCTGGCAGAAACAGGAAGCAGGAAATGTAGAGAAATTGGAGCTAGAAAGATAACTGAGCACTTCTTTAAACAGCAGACTAGAGGAGCACCATATCTTCACAGATGGTGTTAAACAAGCCTCATAAGACATAACTTCAAATAATGCAGGGAACATAAAATTAGGGCCTCAAAAACTTGGGGGACCAGTTCTAGCTCTGGTATTTACTAGCTGGATAGCCACAGGAAGCCATAATATTTTATGTCTCTATTTAATGAGTACTGTCTATATGCCAGGCACCATATAACTTGTGCATAATTGACTGAATGTTCACGCCTCCCCTCAAATTCATATGTTGAAATCCTACTCCCCAATATGACGGTATTGGGAGGTAGGGCCTTTGGGAAGTAATTAAGTCATGAGAGTGGAGTCCTCATTAATGAGATGACTGCCCTTATAAAAGGAACGGCAGAGAGCTCTGAGGCTCAATGTCTTTTCACTATGTAAGGATACCATGAGAAGTCAGCACTCCAGAGGAGGAAGAAAGGCCCTCAGCCAACCCCTGACCATGCTGGTACCCTGATGTCATACCTCCAGACTCCACAACTGTGAGAACTGAATGTTTGTTGTTTAAGCCACCCAGTTCACGGTAGTTTGTTATAGCAGTCCAAACTGGGTAAGAGTGAGTATTTTACATATGACAATATTTCATTCTATCATTAGAATGTAGTAGATTCTATCATTTTTCTCTATTTTATAGATGAGGAAACTTCAGAAAATTCAAGATCAGATAAACTAAAATTGGTTAAAGTAGGGATTTGAATACAGGTAGTCAAACTCTAATGCCCATGTTTAATCATCACAATATTCCAGGTATTAAGTCTTTTAGGCTTTGGTTCCCTCACTTAAAACTGGGCATGTTGGACCAGACAAGATTGAAATTTCTTTTTAGCTTTAAAACACTCTGATTCTAATTATATAAATCATACCTATATTTAATATGCTCATGGATAATCTGTGTTTCTGAACAGTCTTGGAGAACTGAGAGCTGAGCACAAGTTTCTGAAATATGACCTCATTTCCTAGTTTTTCCTTGTGTTTCAGACAAGGTAAACCATGTAATTTACTGTTCCACCAAGAATACCCTTCCTCTCTTTCCATCTATTGAAAATCTATCCATCCTTCAAGAGCCAGCTGAAATGCCACCTCCTTTGTCTTTGGAGATTTAGAGTGGGGATGTATTAGACTGTTGGTGGTTGGGATTTGTGCTAAGTACCTGTATCTGTGCTAATGAAAGGAAAAGATGTAGGAAAAGAAGAAGAAAGGGTGCAGGGACCATGTACAGGAAAGGTAAAAGAACCGTCAGCAGTGTTGTTGGTGACTGGCACATAGCCTTCCTTACAACAGGAAATAGCAAAGCCACCAGATTAAATGTTGCCCAGCTAGGAGATGAAGATTAAATGAAATAACGTGTGTAAAATATCTAGTACACTGCCTGTAAAGGCAGCAATGTGATAGTTCCCAATCTCTTCCTTCCATGGGAACCCGGTCATCTCCTTCATGCTGAAGAAGGCTGCCATCCTGCCCAGGGAGGGATAGGAAAATAAGAGGGGAGAAGAGACTCTGCAGGGGGAAAAAAAGAAGTCAGGAGGATATATATGGGTACATAAAGAAAAAATGAGAGCCAGAGTACAGGAGATGAGAGAGAAAAAGGAAATGAAAGGGAGTCATGGAGAAGAAGAGGAGGATAGAAGGGTGATGGAAGCAGAAGGTCAAAGAGGGACAAGAAAGAGGGAGAGAATTCCAGGACTTGGGAAGAGAAAGTTCGTGCTGCACTGTGGAATCTGGCCTGGAGGAAGAAGCAACCAGATGCAGCACCCAAGCCCAGGTGCCAGTCATTTGCCACTGGGCTCTCAGATCCATTCTCTTTTTGCTGCTCTCACATAATTTGTAGCGATTCTGACCCCTGCCCTCTGTCATCTTGTCCACTGGATTCTCCTGCTTTCTACCACAGAATGGCCCTGGAGGGTGGGAGGAAGGGAGAAACCATGGGACTCCTATTCTCTACTTTGAAAGACATCTCCTGCAGTAGTTGCACTTCCTTTGTGGCTCCAACTCTTATTGAACAAGCCCTTCAGGGTTCTGGCAGTCTCCCCTCTTTGCCCTTCCAGCCTCAGGGAAGACCCACGTCCGGCAGTTGCTAATCTCAGCACTGCCTCACCTTACCCTAGTTGAACTTTCAGTTCTTTCAACACTTGTAACTAATTTGCAGCATTAAATTATTGCTATTGAATCACTTGGGAAAGAAAACTTTACTTTCACTTGGATTCACTTGCAGAGTTCCAAGTTGCAAGTTTTCCTAATGGGACTGCAGGCAGTGCATCGGAGACAAAAATCTAGCAGTCCCAGGATTCAAGAAGGGTCATGGTCTACTTCAGTGTTTGATCAGACAGCGACAAATCCACACTAGCTAACAGGGCTGGAGGGCTCTTAGCCTAGGAATTAGCTGTAAAATGACCGGGTTCATGTCTATTTTTTCATGATTTTCTCTGTTCGCTTTGATCACCGCCAGCCTTGGCTTAAGGAACATATCTGTAGAATTCCATTTGATTCCTCAAAGGTTACTTAAGTGCCCATTATGAGTATAGAGGGCACATAGCTAAGTGTGGTGGGGAGGAGATACAGAGACGCAGGAAAAACAGAGAGCATGCTCAGTTTTTGGAAGTGTTTGCTTTTGCAAGATGAGGTTTGTGGACCTCATCATAAAGGAGGAGACCCTCTTGATAAAGACTCCTGAATTTTTCCAATCCCACCAGAGCTGCAGACACTCGGAGGTAGTATTAGTCTTACAGCTTTCATTTCTCCCGTCACCAGAGCTCTGTTAAAAGCAGACTTCTCTTCAAGGAACTCACAGATCAGTGGGGGTACAGTACAGGCACACAACTGACCCCCAAGTCAGAATGATGCGAGCCACAAGGGAGGATTCTGCCTGGGGGAGCAGGAAGGCTGCAGAGATGGTAGGAAATGGCTACAGGAGCTGAGTCCAAGGGAGTTTGACAGGTGGAGGCAGCTAAGGGGTTTTCCGGCAGAGAACAGAGCAGGATCAAAATCAGGCGTCAAAGGACACACATTAAGGTGGTGTCCGTAAACAGGGGCTTTGGGGTGAGGGTAGGAAAGTGGAGAGGAGGCTGAAAGGTGGAGGCCCAGATGTTGGGGGCTGTGAGAATGAGGCATTAAGGCTTGAGGCCATGGTGAGTCATCGGAAGATCTTCAGCATCAGGGCGGCAAGGTCACTTCTGGTGGGGTGGCGGGCGGGGTGCAGGGACTTTGTGATTAGAAGGAAAGAAGCTGGAGCCAGGGAAAAGAAACTGCGAGCTCTGAGGTAGGGGGGCAGCTTATACGGGAAGCCTGGACTTGACCATCGCCAGGGAGGCACACTGACATTCGAGCTGCCTTCCATCTATTCAAGGGCACACTTCCTCCGTCTGTGGAGGGAGAAGGTGGCCCTTCCGCGGCTGTACGATAGGAAGTCTCCAGCCTGAGAAGTTTCAAATTTCTCCTTGCCAAGGTCGGGCCACTACAGGTGGGCGACTGAGAGCCCCCGGCGAACGCTGGGCTCCACGCCCGCCTCGGGCAGCCGCCGCGGCTTGTCCCCTCCAGGCCTGGGCTCCGCCGTGGGCCGTGCCCGGCTGGGCGCTCCGGGAGCTGCGCGGCGGCGGCTCGAGGAGGCCTGGCGGGCGGCGGCGAGAGGCTGTGCCCCAGTTTGTGTCCAATCAGGGAGTGCGGGCTGTGCCCCGAGCCGGGCAGCAATGCGTAAACAAACCCACGGTAACTCCTCCGCCCCCTCGGCGCGCTCGCCCCGCGCCCGCCGCCGCCAGCGCCGCCGCCGCCGCCGCCGCGGGCTCTGCTCTCCTCGCGCCCGCCCGCCGGGCCGGCCCAGCCCCCGCCCCGCGCCGCTCGCACCCCC